ATCCCTCGGCTGGCCGGTCCCCATGGCGCTGGCTCCGTGGGTCACCACCGCCGGGCGTTCCAGCCCGCCTCCGTTTTCAGAGCTGAAGTGCCAGCTGTGATCAGCCCCGTTTCTTGTCATGGTGTGGTGTCCCGTTCAGCTGCCACACTCTGTAGTGTCACCCATGAAATCTGAGGTGCAGATTCAACACAAAGTTCATCTTTTTCCTCTTTTTTGTTTTTTTTTAGTTTTGTTATTTGCTTCTGAACAGTAATTTTGGCTTAGTCCCTAACCACCGTGCTACGATTGTGCTCTCTTCTTTATTGTTAAATACAAAGAATTACGTTGACTTTAATTTCTCATTTGTGTATTTTTGTGAGGTTTAAATGCTTTTGTCTACTTGGGCTTTGGGAAAGTTTATTACCTTCAACCGCACAGGGAAGCCTTTTAATAACTTCCAAACCGGCAGCAGTTTGTGGATGGATCGAGCAACACTAGTCATCATGCAAGTTTGCATTGCTGCTGTGTGAGGAAAGCATGGGATGGCACATTTATTTGCCAGGGCAGCAGATTCTTGCTGTCAGGATCTCATCCGTGGTCAGGCGGGTTGAGCTTACATTGACTCTGCTGGAATATTGAATGATTTGGATGGGTTGCTGATCATATTTATTCTGATCTCATTTTTCAGGATCCCTCTGGTGATTCATCACAACAGGAAGCAAAACAGAGGTATAAATGATAACTGTTGACTTCTGGACTCACTGAGTTGTTTTGGAACCTTTTACATTTACCTTTTTTTTTTTTTTTTTTTTTGTTAAGTATTTTCACTTCTTTGGAATACCTGATTTTATTTTTTGTGGTTGGGAACACCAGCAACAAAGAAGCTGAAATGTCAGAAGATTTAATCCAGGGGTAGCTAAAATCTGATCCATGCAAGTGTGGCCCCCAGGCCATGGCTATAGGGGATGATCTAGCACAGAGCTGCTGGGCAGTCTGAGCCCTGGCTGGGGTCGCAGCAGGGGGAGCAAAACAGCACTGGCAGCTCAGTTTCACTTTGGGCCTCAGCTGAGTGCAGTTACCTTTTATGTTAAGTGCTTTGAGCAGCCTGCTCTAGTGAAGGTGTCCCTGCCTATGGCAGGGGGTTAGAACTTTAAGCTTTAAGGTCCCTTCAAACACAAACCATTCTATGGTTCTGTGAACCTCATGCTGGATGTTTGGGGGAAGCATCATCACTCCCACAGTCATCTGCTTCTGCAACTGGGAAACCTTTGGCTTTTTGGGTTGGTAGGAGCTGGTCATAAAAAAGTAAACCTTGAAGACTGGCAGAACTCTTCTCAAATTAGAGTTTGAGTGTTGAGTTTGGGTTTGGCTCTGTTAGTGCAATGAGGACATGCTTTCCTAGTTGACTGGATTTTCTGGGACATCTGTTGCAGTTAAAAATATGAAACCGAATGTTTCATGTCAGAACTTTGTTCAGAAGCAGTGCAGAACCTGTACTAAGTGGAGAATTGGAGATAAGTATTTAAAGAGCTCAACTTTGCGCACAGTCAAAGTTTGTAATAACTGAAATGCGTAAACTGAAATTCCAGTTTTGCAAATATTTAGTCAATAACTGTAAGCATATCAAGAGTTATTGAAAAATTCTACATAAATAATGAGGCTTGGTTCTGCCTTGCAATTGCATGGAGTATTCCATAACACTTGCTCTATCATACGCTGCCTTTGAATTCTGCATGGAATTCAGATTTCTGAATGCAGACTATTTACAACTGGGTAGCATGGCTTTTGTCTTTGAGATGTAATAACAAACAGGAGGAAGGTGTGAGTAATAATAAATCCACATTGATTTTTTTGGAAGATGTGGTCAGCTGTGTAACTTGTTAATGTACATAGAGCTACTCACAACAGAAAATGCTACAAAAGGAACTGGGTAGTTGTGTGGTTTGAAGGGACCTAAAGAAGTCACTGATATGAATTGAATGTTTTCTGTAGTTGGCTAGTTTGTGCACATTATTTTAGGTACTTGAAATCCCACTTCTAATGTGTGGTTGATTTTTTATTTTTTTTTTATTTTTTTTTTTAATTACAGGGAAGCAGAGATAAGAAATACTATTTTAGCTCAAGTTCTTGATCAAGCAGCTCGTGCAAGATGTAAGTATCCAAGTAACTTTCTAATTAAAAATTCCCATCTACTCTGCGCCAGTGCTGCTCAGATCAAGCATGTACATGCTTCTGTAGAGGCCAGAGCAGAAAAATACTGGTGCTGATGAGAAAATAAAACCATTACAGCTTTCTAGTTTGATTATCAACAATTGGAGGGGAGGGGTTAACTGACACCTGAATGATGTTAATTTTATATTTTTTTATTAATAGTAGGAATTGTAGTAAGAATCAAATTCAGTTAGGATCAAATATTTAAAAGTAAGAAATAAAACTGTTTTGTACCTTTATTTTATATAAATGAAAACGCCTTCCTGGATTTATTTTATGACCTTGGCATGAAGAAGAGTTGCATAGGGATATTTGTCACTTTTTAGTTCCTAGTGAAGGTATTTGAGTGTGATTTAAAACAAACAGAACCTGTTTCTGTTGCAGTAAGCAATTTAGCACTTGTGAAACCAGACAAAGCAAAAGCAGTGGAGAATTACCTTATACAGATGGCAAGATTTGGACAGTTACCTGGAAAGGTGAGTTACATTTTTTTAATTCTTTCTTGTGTATATTAATTTGCAAACCCAATTCACTCTTAAAAACAAAAAAAAAGGGGGGGGGGAATGGTTTTAGTATTTGTAAATTAAATAAGTGAAAAAGACAACTGAGAGCTTCTAAATACTATTACATAATTCCTTCTCTAAGAAGGTGTAACGGATGGGAACATAGCTAAGAGTTGATTCCCTCTCATGACTGAGAGACATAACAAAGTATGTTTCTGTCACAGTGTATTCAGTAGAGTGTACATGTTTATGTTCATCGTGACTGTTTGTCACAAAGAGGCAGGAAAACATAGGTGTGCAGCTGTTCTGTGACCTTCATACTTGGCCGCACTGATGCACCTGGCCAACGCTTTCGGTGTGGACAACAGTGAGATCATGAGAAACTGCACAGCCTCACGAGTAAACAATGAGAGACCTGGCATAAAGCCGGTTGTTTTTCTAAGGGTATAAAGGCAGGACCCTCTCGTGGCCGAATCTGGAGCCTCACCTATGGGCAGATGCACCGTGTGGGAACGGTCTCCGTTACCTGAGACTCCCAGCACTGGCTGCAACGGGGCTTCCCCCCTTGAAGTGTGGGCCTGGATGATGGTTCAGTGGTGACTGGTCACATTATTTCTTCTTAATCTCCGTTTCTCTCCATGCAGTAATGATTTGATGCATTGCTGATTTTCCTCTGAGTTTTACTTTACAATATAAATCTGATTTGCTTTATTGTACTTATTTACTTTATATATATATTTACTATATATAGAGAGATACATACCTTATTCACATTACTGTGCTTACTCACTTAAGTGTGCTGGTTTAATAAACTAGGCATTCTATAGAGCTAGTGTGTGCTCATTTTGCTGTGTACCCTGCCTCTCAGCAGAACAGAAGGAAAAGTGTGATTCAGTTGTTTGATACAGCATCTCTCAGAATATGTTTATATGGCTTTTGTTTTGCTTTCCTAGGTGTCGGAACAAGGTTTGATAGAAATACTTGAAAAAGTGAGTCAGCAAACAGAAAAGAAAACAACAGTAAAGGTAAGCTTAACCTCCTATATGTAATTTTCATGTGTTGGACCATCTCTTCCCTGTGAGGGTGCTGAGGCAGTGGCACAGGGTGCCCAGAGAAGCTGTGGCTGCCCCATCCCTGGCAGTGTTCAAGGCCAGGTTGGACACAGGGGCTTGGAGCAACCTGCTTTAGTGGAAGGTGTCCTCGCCTGTGGCAGGGGATTGGGACTAGATGAGCTTTAAGGTCCCTTCCAACCCAAACCATTGTATGGTTTTATGAACTTCACTTTGTAATTACCACCTCTCTCACCTACACTGTTAAGTTCTGAGATTCAATCCCATCAGTCCTTACCAGTAGTAAGATTTGCAGATGTTGGTGCTGGGCTGTCAGTGTTCTGTTGTGTCTGTCCTGCACTGTTACACCAGACAGGGACTTAGCGGGTAATAGGGTGAATGTTCTGTTCCCATGTAATGTTTTCATTGACAAATGCATGGAGGTTGAGAGGCTTGCTCTGTGTTGGATTTACTGTGACCCTTCTATTTTCACATGGTGTATTTCACTTTTAGTTCAACAGAAGGAAAGTATTGGATTCCGATGAAGAGGATGACTACTGATACTACTGTAGGACTGTTTGCCAAACAAAAGGCCTGGGAAAAGACAACGTGCTTTTGTCAGGCAGAATGCAGGATCTGAAAATGTTTACGCTTTTTTCTTTTTTTTTTTTTTCTTAAAAAGGCCAACAAAAGAACTTGTCTTTTTAAGTCCGAGAAGGGGATTCTATAACTTAATTTTTTGTAGTGTAAAAGCCCTGAGCAGTGTGGGGTTCCCCACTGCTTCATTAGCATGAACAATTTGTTGCCCTGTACTCATTGTGTAAGCTATGCTTCCAGCAACTGCACACGCTTAACTTGCTGCTATTGGAGATACACCATAACACAAGGAGGAGCTAAGTGTAAAGCTGGAACAGCCACTCCTAGGAGTTTAAAGACTTACCTCTGGGCTCTAAATCACAGAAGTGTTAAAAAGGAGATTTCCTGAGCCCCTGAGGAAGCCCATCCAGCAGCTCACTCTCTTTCAACAACTCATTGAAAATTTATCAAATGAAGTGAGGGTATCACAATGGTGCTTGAATCGGAGGACTTCAGATCAGGCACTCTGTGTAAAGAAGCTGTAAGCAGCAGACAACGTTGTTCCCTTTTGAAATAATCAAACTGTCTCAAAAAAAGCAAGTTAACTGTGTAATACAGCACTATTCAGACACTTGGTATCCTATATTTTTAAAACTACCTCCATTTTTATCAAATGGCTGGAGTGTTTCTTACTTTGAAAAAAGACCTTTTTCCTAAATTCTCTGTAACTAACTCCTGCATGCATAAACTGAAGCTGTGCTATACGTTTATTCACGAATATGGTTATGGAAATAAGTAGGATAAATACTGTAATGTGCTGATAAACACCCTATCACCACAGACCCCTTTTCTGACCTAATTCACAGGAATATGTATGATCCCAACTGCATTGTTTTTTAGGAACGGAATAAAATTGCTTTTAAGTGAGCACTAGTGGGTGGTTTTCTTCGTGTGTGAATGGGGTTGAATAGTATTTAAATGTGGGGGTTTTTTTGTTTAATATGGACTAGACTGGGCATTTGGCTTGTATGTGTTTGTAACTAGAATTCCTTAACTTCAGTAACATTGTGGGTGTATCCTAAATTTCTTATGACTAAGGAGTCTTTAGCAGTGTGAAGAGTTTCAAGCCATGGTGTGGCAATAGAGGTTTAAGAGTTTTCCCAGTAAGGCTACAGATAGGTCCTTAGCAGCCACGTTTCCCATTCCCATTCTTGAGTTTATAAAATTATTCTCTATATGAGCTTTGTGGCATTGCTGCACTGGAATGGGTATTCCAGAGACTCAGTTGTCAAAATGTGACTTAACAATGTAGATTCATTTTAATTTTTACAATCTTTTGGAGATTAAACTGGACTATGCTGTCAGCAACATGCTTTGCAGACAAATCCCAAGTCATGAATTTGATGGGTGTTTGGGCTAGGCAGGGGCAGCTTCCAGGGGTACTCCTTTCAAATCCTATTCCTGTTTAGCCCTTGATCATATCTTGAATATTAAGGCATTTTTTAATTACAAGCTTGGTTAAGCACATCAAAGGAGACTTGCAAACTATTATTTCGTTTACCTAGATAATTTGTCAGTCATTATCTTTCCATCATTTAGATTAGAGTGGAACTGTCTTGGCGTTTAAGTGGGGTTTTTTTAGTACATACTCTATAAATCCAAAATGCTAGGAAATAAGCTTTATCCTAGACTGAAAACTGAATAAACCTGAAGTATGGCTTAGTCACTTAAGTAGCCTCAGGTTCACAAAGACAACTGTTCTGAATGTGTAGTAGAATGGAAAGCTCAGGTTAATTCCAATAAATTTCTACTTTTTCTATAAAACTAAAGAAAAAAATATGTTCTCCTGCTGGATGTCTTAAAATATAAATCATGTTTAAAAATACACTAGGAAATATTCAGCAGGTCTGCATTACATTGCCTTAGTAAGCTACTACTTTCTTTTCTTGCAAATTTAGTATTTCACTTGTGAGGGAGGTTTTTCAAAGGTATATTAACACTTGGCCAATTCTTAATTTTTTTCAAGTAAAATTAACCAATAATTCTGTAACAACTCATATCAAGGCTAAAACTTGGGAGTGTTGCAACTGGGTCATTGCTTGCATGGAATACAAGAAAACGCACTTAAAACATTAACAGTGTGGAACAAGTTTTCTTGAATACCAGTTGTATTCAAAATTTGCTTTTAATAGAAAAAAAGCAAATATCCAAATTCAGAGTTCATGGCCTCTGATACTTTTCTCCAACCCTTTTCAAAGGAATGTAATAAGCTGTCTTAAAACTTGTTTCCAAAGGTATTCAGCCACACTATCTTATTAGTACAACCCTTAATCCTTAAGAAAAAAACCCTGATACTGTACCTGTTGTCCCTGTGCTAACTGCAGTTACAGCAGTATATTCTATGCTTACACTCTGTAGCACAGTACTACCAATACTAAAAAGTTAGTGAACTGCTTTTTCTCATCCATATCATCAAGAAGTCTTAAGAATCATATAGTTAAATACACAATATAGTTAAGCAAAATCCTTACTATGTAGTTTGGAAATCAGATCTATAACATTTTAACTTGCATCTTAAACTTTAGAAGTAATACCTAGGTTATTTTTGCTACAGGTGAGGATAAGTGACTTAACGTAGGTCATCTTTTAGTGCCACAAGAATTAAAAAACCTAATTAATCTCTTCTTCCTCTTGGTCTTGTGGCTTCTAGCTGAACATTCATCCTACTTTTGTAAATGGGAATCTAGAGCTAGAGAAGGAAGTTACATGAAAATGTTAAACCTTAAATCCAAAGGCACACAACCTAGTAACAGTAATCCATGAATATAAGAGGGAAGAAGGTCGCATTGAATTTGAGAGTTAATTACAATAATTTCTCTTCCATTTACATAAGGACACAAGGTGAAATCTTCAAATGCCCACAATGAAAGCAAGGAAATAACACGCAAAGGACTCAATGCTTTGAAGAAAGCACTCACAGAAAATAGCATTTTCAAGAGTTGTTTTACTGGTTTTTATTTACCATCATTTGGCACAAAGCCAAGGCACATTAGAAAATCAGATTAACTCATAAATTATTAGAAAAATAAACACATGACCCTCGTATCTCCAATTGTCCACATGTGCACTTATTGCCCATTTTCCTCTTGGATTAAAAAGTTACTTGGAAAAAAAAAATCACCAGTATGTCTTCCAGCTTTGTACTTTGCCAGGCAGTTTACTAACAGCACAGTTAAAAGAAATGGAGTTATTAATACAAAATAGTTGATGAAATAAAATGCAAGCTGGATGTGATGAGCCAAGGATAAAAAATACTGCACTTAAGAAACCTGGCTTGTGCTATTTACACGTTCTCCTACTGTAACTGAAACACTAGAAAATTAAGTTCAGAAGTTCAGATCTAAGCAGCCATCTCATAGTTACTCATGGGCTTTCAATTCTTCAGTGACCACCTCTAGGAAAAGTACCTTTTTATAACTGGAATTCCACCTTTAAAAGAGCAGTCCAGAGCAGGCTCTGAACCAGTTTCATCTGCAGATGTTGCCCAGGTTCAGAACCATTAATATTTATTTGTGCATTTTTGCATGTCTTGCTTTAGAGGAAGGGACAGGGGGGAACAACTGCCTTCTAATATCTGAAGGGGGCCTACAAGGATACCAGAGAGGGACTGTAGCGACAGGACAAGGGGTGGTGGGCTTGGTGAGTTTAAACTTAAACAGGGGAAGTTCAGGACAGATACAAGGAAGAAGTTCTTCACGTGAGGGTGGTGAGGCACTGGAATGGGTTGCCCAAGGATGTTGTGCATGCTCCATCCCTGACAGTGTTCAGGGCCAGGTTGAACAGAGCCTTGGGTGACATGGTCTAGTGTGAGGCGTCCCTGCTCATGGCAAGGGAGTTGGAACTAGATAATCCTAAGGTCCTTTCCAACCCAAACCATCCTATGATTCTATGTGCCATTACACACACTTGCCTCTGCATACTTTTTTTGATGAGGCTGTGAGCAGCAAGTCCAGAGTTCAGCTTTGTTAGGGGCTCTCTGCTTCTTCCCTTGGATCCTATGTAAGAACGTTATCTTGCAGATCCAATACAGGGCAGTATTGCAAAGAAACGTGCAAGGATTACACCCCTTCACATTAACAGCATGTATAAATTTCTAACACAGCGCCACAGATGTTATGGACAGTTGTTTTCCCAGCTACTGAGATATACAGAAATATATACTCTAACACTTCGTAACATACAATAAAAATAGAGACATTTCAATTACCTCTGGCAATAAATACCTAGTTATCCAATATATCTTTATATATAAATATATATGTATTTATATATACTTATCCAACGTAGTGATAAAGACTGAAAATGCAAAAATTATTCAAAGACTTTCAAAAACTAAGTGAGGGCTGAAAAAATACAATACAGGTTTTTTCATTTGGTTTACTTGTTACACAGAATTTTTTAGTAAGTGCTAAGGAGAACAGGAAAGTAATTTTGCTGTCTACACCTAGGTACGTCCCTGTTTGTTGAGATCAGTAACAATCTGGCTGTTCAGTTACACCTCCAACATAAATCCAACAGAGGATTCAGTCTTCCAAAGTGCTAGAAGCATTCTGTTCCTGCATAGGAGTCATCCTGGATTCTGTCTTGAAAGCAGGCTTGCAAGTGTCAATCAATCCTTCGACGTACAGTGAAGGGTTACTGAAATTACCACAACCTCAGCTTTTGACATCAAATTCACGCTTCCTCATCAATGTTCTGAAAGCAAGTCATCACAGCAGTCCCTTGACTGTGAAACACTTGGACTTCCAGGGCTGGATAAACTATTATCGCTGACATTCTCTGCTGAAAGTGGCATATTAACAGTGTGTCTCCGGTGTGTTAATTTACTCCTGTGAGGAACTTCTATCACATCATCACGTTTCACAAACTCACCACTGCATCCTGTGTCAATAATCTTAACTTCACTCTGGTCCAGTGTTTCAACAGATTTTAACTTGGTTTTATCAAAGCTCTTAATAGCTAACTGTGAGGACAGGAAAATGGTATGTTAAGAGCATTGCCTGCTTTCTTCATGACAAAGAAGTAAAATGAATATAGTGTTTCTTGAATACAATTACACATTAATTATATGGTATTCTTTATAGTGAGAGCACAGCCAAGGATTAAAAATAGTGTACTTTGTAGGACAGGAATTATATTCAGTCTACATATGAGAAAAAAATAAGAGGCCAACCCGCCCCAGGCTGTATACACAGCAGTACCACAAGTGAAAAGATAACAAAGGCTTTCCAAAACTTATTTTCACTGTGCTATCCCAATATCATCCTAATTCTTCTAAACACCTTTTGTAATACAAGTCTCAAGATCCTTGAAATTAACAGCCATTTCTTTGACCATTAAGAAATGTGTAAGTAGTAATATAAGTAGTAACACAGGTCCACTAGGCACTGCTGAAGGCAAAGGCAAGAACTCTGTGCTTCCTGATCTAACCCACCCTCCCAGACCTCTTAAAGACTCTTTTTGGTCATTCCAACTATTATTATCTTTCTGAGTTTTCCTTTTCAGAGTGAGTGGCCCCTATGCAAACGTTATAACCAAGGAAAAAAAAAAAAGAGAATCCAAGCATGCTCATGACAGATTTTCTAAGATAAGAATCAAAGAAATTAATTATAATAACCGTTTACTGAAATAATGCTAACAACAGCCCTCAGAAGCTGCAGAGTTTTTCAAGCCCTGGTATAACCTAGATTTTTCTAGCCATGACATGGAAAACAAGACAGAGATGAAGCCTGGACTAAGAGGCTTAAGAGGTTTAAAAGTAAGAATAAGATGTTTAAGAGGTGTTACAGAAGCACCATTGAAGCTTAAACAATGATGAAACGTTAGCAAGTTAGCAAAGAGGTCAGAACTTCTGGGATTCACAACCAACCACTAGTAAAGAAACCCTCCTGTTACATGTATCTATATTAACAGCAGACAAAACAAACAGGTTTGCTATGTTATACCAAGCAAGTATTTCCACTTACCTGATGCAATAACTCATAGTCAAAATTAGGGACACTTTTATCTCTCGTTATTGTTCTCCGTAAATGTTTTGCTCTAAAAAAGTATTTTAAAGAAATTAAATTCAACCAACTCTTTCCACAAAAGTCTCCATCACAGAAAATCCAGAGGGTGGCACTATCTCCCCAGAGAAAGGCTCCTCGCTGGCACCACTACCTCAGAATGACAGCCTACCAGTATTTCCTGTATTTTATCACAGAATATACATTAAAGAGATCATAAGCAACACCCAACCACTGAGTGAAGCACTAAGATAATATTTTTAAAGCATTCTGCTTTGAAATTCTTAATTCATAGTACACCAAGTATTAGTGCAGAACCAATTTTCCATATGGTTGCCAGTACTCCGTTTCCCTTCTGCTGCACAACATGTCAGTGCTGTTCACCGCTGATGAGCACGTCATGCCACATCTGTCTGGTGATATGAATGTGCACACCTCAGAGATTAACATCCACCATCAAATCAGTCGTATGTGATGTGTCACAATGCCTGACCCACTTTTGGGCTTTATTAACCATTTTATTTTTTGTTAGCTTGTGGGAAACAAAAAAACTTCTGAGGAAGCTGCTGTGCTTACTTGTTAAATCTGTTAATTGACTGGACCAGTTGAAGTTGTCTGCTTACGGGATCATCAGCTTTCTCACATGGCTTAGAACTCGCTAGGGGTTTAAAAGAACAGGCAGCTAAAATTACAATGGAGTCACACTTAAAAATTGAAAAAACACAGTTCTGAATGAAAAGTGGTTCTACTGACATTAGAATTAAAATTTTACGGTAAAACTATATAGCAGTAATAACCTGAGTCAGAGTCACAATTAATCTTTGGAAATTTTAAAGTATTTTAAGTTGCAGGAGTAAGCATCCTTCATCAGATTAGCATGACTGGCCATGCTTCTGAAGAGACCATTTAATTCTGGACCTCAAGGCCCTTCATTCCAATTCTCACATACCATACAGATGGTATACCAGCTCTTCATCACTATTAACTACTCATTTCTTCTATTGTTCTTTTAGAACTATTCTCTTAATATTTGAAAGAACTATATCAATCTTGGGCATCACCATACTGTGATTAATTCTGGTTTTGTATCAAGGAAGCATTCACAGTCTTTCCTAGGGAGCAAGCAAGAGTTATTTGCAGAAGCCTAACTAAAACTAATGCATGCTGAAATGGGCGCTCCTGCTCCTCATCTTCCCCAATTCCTGTTGTAAAGCCTCACCATCGTCTTTCCACAGCTCCACAGTGGCAGCAGGTCCTCTGTTAAGCTGAGTTGTCTAGCTCAGCATGAAACCTGTTACACCCCTCGCCCCAGGTTAGTGAACTGCACCAGCTTGAAAATTCATCTGAGAAACTTCTGAGCCAGCATAAGGAAAGTAATGGATAAGCAAGACCAGATGCTAAGGGCAAGAAGGAAGAAGTGAGGATGGATGGTAACACCACCTCTTTCAAATGGCACTAAGCCATTGCATCAGCTCAGATGTACTGTGAAAGGGTACCGTGTGTCTCAATGCATCTGCTTAGGCTGTATTATATCCTGCCATCTACTGGAAGTTACTCATTTACTAACCATGCTTAATAGTTTAGTTACCTTTGTAGCTCTTATTTCTGTCCCATATTATGAGAGACACTAACTAATGGAAGAGTTACTCCCTAACCTGTTTTAGAGACAATTTAAATTACATTTTTTTTTGTTTAGTTCTCACTGAAATGTACAATTATTACATAATTGATTATATAATCTCAAATGTGGCATGTTTTTTTAACTTTAAATGCTTTTGTATGTAAAATTCCCCCCAAGCACAAAAAAGTGAAACCGAGTTTGTAGCAATGTAATGAACATAATAAAAGTCTGCTTCATTTACAGTATCTTAGGTGTTACCTGTAATAAATGTGCTAAAGAGTTGACTATTCTTTAATTATATGTAAGTCAATTATACAAAATACTTGATGGAGTCACATGTGAATTCCTAAATCCCTTTTTATTCATACCAGTGGAAATATGACATGTACCTTTTTTTCTTATCTTGATAGAAGCATGCTGCTCACACTCCTTTTCTCTCTCTGCTGATGTAGGTACATAGCTTGGTGCTGTTTCCAGCAACTTAATGATATTTGAATTCTTAAATTTAAAAGTTTCCATTTTCACCATTATTAAAGAAAAAGAAAAACATCAGTACAATTTAGGATTCTAGTCTATGCAGAGTGTGTTAATTAATTGCTGCCAAAATGAATGTAAGGCACCAAAAAACCTCATTATAAATACAAAGTTTAAATTGTATCATTTTGAGTAGGGACAAGTTGCACTGTACTGGAGTGATGATTTTGTATTCTTGATCTATTATTTTAAACTGCATTATTTATGGTTAAGCTGATTTCGGTTTAGATGGTAATATACACACTAAAATTGATTCAGTACAGAATTTCGTGGTCATTATGCTACATCTCAACGGCTATTTAGGCACATAAATATAGGGACCATGCATCAAATCATTTAAAGAGTGAAATAATTCTTTGTAATTTAGTATTACATATTATGTTATTGCTATTAATAAACGGGAAGGTCAGAGTTATCAATGACAGGATGAAAGGTATCAAAAGGCATGAAGGGCAAAACACAGTGGGTGGAACAAGGAAGACTGCTCACAGGGTAACTTATTAGCTTAAGGTGTTAATTTTCCTATGCTCAACATTTCTTCTGCTATCTCTGCCACTACCAGTACATATTTTAATGTAATTTTCACTCACGTATGTGCTTTCATGATTCATCCCTTTTGTCTAGGATAACTTATTTTAGAAACACAACAGGTTTCATGTACCACAGGTACCATATGGTACACTGTACAATAAACAGGCATTTTAGTCTTTATATCATGCACAACTGTTAAATACGGAAGTCTTGGCAAATACTGTTGTAATAAATAGTTGTATTTGCACATGGAAATCTGATGTCAGACATGCTCTTTCTGCACTCACCGGCTCAGCGCAGTCTGCAGGGGTGCAGTTCCTCTCATTCCTGATGTGCGTCATTGCACCATTCTTAAGGAGCAAGTCTACCAGGGCTTCGTTCTTCCCTATCACTGCCTCATGCAGTGCTGTATTTCCTTTGGCATTAGAAAGGTTAACAGAAGCTCCATGCTGGACAGCAAGATGGAATCGATGTTATGAAGACAGAGTAGCACAAAATGGAACAGCACATGATTATTCTGGTTTTCTCTGTTTGTCTTTTCAATGTACGAATGAGAACAATGCAACAGAAGCCTCGTGGCTGTTTACAAACCCAGAAAGCATATGCTAGCAATCAACACTTCAACAATAAGCCACCTGATACTATTTTCTCCTTTCTCATAGCTACGATTTTATGGATCAGCTCATTTCATTTTGGTATGTACCTACTACATATTCCAAGTTTAAGAGATATTTAAAAAAAAAAAAAAAAAAAAAAAAAAAAAAAAAAAAAGAAATTACAGAACCCACAAACCTCCCCATGTGATAGAATCATCGGCAAGAAAACTTAACACCTGCCACAAAAAAAAGGTTCCACAGAAACAGCTCACAACAGTAGAGTTTTATCTAATAAATACAACGAAGGAAGGGATTGAAAGGAGATAACAGATTTTTTTCCCCAGGTAGTTGTGACAGAGAAATACGTAACTAAAGATACTGTTCCTGAGTACAGGATAAGTATCACGTCAGAATTATTATTCTGAACTTTCTGTTTTCAGTGATCTTACCTGCAACAACAAGGCAGTCGTCTCATACTGGCCATTCAAGCATGCGTAAATTAAAGGAGTATTTCCATATATATCCTTTTTATTTTGTTTAGCATTATAATCCATCAGACACTTTACCACCTATTGAAAGAAATAACAACCTTTTAAGATACCAGCTAACCATAATCACGCAGTGAAAGCCCTCCTCTGGAATGAAAAAGAGATGGAAGAAAAAAGGATGGAGAAAGCCAATCTCATCTTTGCCAAACAGATAGGGACTGTAGTGGTAGGACAAGGGGTAATGGCTTTAAACTTAAACAGGGGAACTTTAGGTTAGACATAAGGAAGAAGTTCTTCACAGTGAGGGTGGTGAGGCACTGGAATAGGTTGCCCAGGGAAGTTGTGAATGCTCCAACCCTGGCAGTGTTCAAAGGCCAGGTTGGACAGAGCCTTGGGCGACATAGTTTAGTGTGTGGTGTCCCTGCTCATGGCAGGGGGGTTGGAACTAGATGATCTTAAGGTCCTTTCCAACCCTAACTATTCTATGATTCTATAATAACCACAAGCATCTCTATCTATCATACGCATTTTCACATTTTACCACACACTTTTAAAGCAAACAGAAAGAAAAGCAACTGAAAGGCCAGAAAATAAAACTTGAGATATGTGAAAACCATATATAACCAATAACTTCACAAAACATCAAAACCAAACCACCACAGCAAGTGTCCTTTCGCCCTTTCCTCATGAGAACACATCAGAACACTTGTAAGGACTTGTGTTGTAAATACCCCACTAACTAACCTTCATTAAACCTACAAGTTTAAGTTGTATTCTTGTTTTCTTCTTGCTTCCCTAGTGCTTTGTCTCCCCTTCATCTTCGTAATTCTTTTTTTTTCCCTCTTGCAGTCCTCAGCTCCTTATTTTTAGACCCCTGGTTTTCCACTTTTCTGCACACTCCTAATTTGCCTGTCTGCATCTGCTTCTTCCTTGATCACTGTTTTTCCCCTCGTTTATTCTCCCTCCTGTATTAATGTTCTTGCCTCAGTAGCTGGTACTGCTTCTTCACTGCTTATGTTTCCCTGATTCAAAGTCAGGGATGAGGTATCTTCTATCCGCAAAGTTCCATTTGGCTCATAATCTATTTAAATGAGTTGAAGACACAGAAAATATTTAATATCTTGGCTATTGAAGATACCAAGTTCTACATGTAACCTCCTACAACAGAAGGTATAGACAGAAAACACATAGGAAGAGCCAGGTGCACAAAGTATTTTTAAAATGTTTGGCGTACGACAGTAGCTACATTTCACTGTTACAGTTTTAGTCATGTTATAATTTCACAAAATTGCTTTTTGTTTACAGTTAAGTGTTAAATTACTTGCATTTGTGAAGAGGCTCAGTTACCTGGAAGTGACCTTTCTGGCAAGCTAGATGAAGAGGAACTGCATGTTTTGCATTCTTGGCACTGATACTGGCTCCATGTTTCAACAAGAGAGAGACAAGATCAGAGTGCCCATGCAGCGCAGCCATATGCAATGGTGTAAAACCATCTTCATTGGAAACATTTACTCCAAGTCCATTAGTGGAGATCTTTGAAAATTTCTGTTGAGCAAAATAGACACCAGAACTATAAAATTAATCATGCTACTCTCTGATGACTAAAAAGCAGCCAAATATCTTCTAAGTATATACCAAAGAGGAAAATGGACATTTCAAGATCTTCTGCTACAGAGCATAATTTGAGACCTTCAGGAAAAGAGTCAGTAAACCAGAGCAGCTTGGTAGTATTTTTCAACAGAACAATGAGATTTATTTTTATCTCTTTTCTTCCAACATGATAGCTTCATGTAGAGAAATTCCAAGCAAAGTCTGGGGTATTGTATTTATTCAAAGTTGGACAAACGTTAATTACAGCAATCGAGATATTCTAAAAGCAAACTGCAAAGTTTTTTCACCCCATTAGATATTGAGCAAGTCTTTGTTCTCTTTTTAATTGAACTGTAGAAAATTTTGGATACAGGAAACATTCAATTTCATGACCATCAGATGAACTGTTTAAGATCAATATATATTTACTTGCTTTTCAGGCAGAGGTACAAAGGTTTTGGGCAATATGAATGCTACTTCCCTAGAGCTAAAAGTTACATTACAAGAACATAATTTGTTCTTTTTATAGAATGAATATTCCCACCTTTTGTACTGGCCCACATTTTGAGCACTGGCATAATGGATGGCAGAATTCTGGCTTTGCTGTACTGGCTGTGTCATCCTCATCTTCTAAGTCGTCTTCCATCCATTCCAAGAGATAACGTACCTGGCATAAAAAGCAAGTCCTACTTTAGAGAGTTGAAAGGTTCCATGTCCTCATAAATTTGCATATATAGGCAAGTAAGATTTCACAACCATACACTTGCGAATATCTCAGGGACACTATACAGCTACCTTCTGGCATCAACTGCCCACAGGCCAAATTAAAAGATCAAATGTTATTGTTGACAAAGCAGCTACAAAGTTCAGCATATATAGCAGCGAAATAAATTAGAAATTACTTCCTGCTACGTAATCAAGACTTCAGTGTTCACCTGTTCTCAAACTCTCCAAATCCTTTTAGCTCAGATGACTTGTGCCAGCTCATATAAATGCAAATTTTGTCTCCTCTTTTGATTTAAGGAACTTAAGAACTGGCAAGGGTGATGGCATTTAACCCATATCCAAAACTAAGCAGGGGCACTGACTTTTCTTAGGTCTGTCAATTCCCAGGAGCTTGACAGTTCCACTTTTTTCTCAATATACAATGCCTCATTTTTGAGGAGGAGAGAGGCCCTACAAAGAATACAGTCTTAGGACTCAGAGCATTCATGTGCAATTTGTAAACAGTGGTGCTTACTGCATGTTAATTTTACATTCTATGCAGCAAAAACAAAAGCTGTTTAAGAAATACATTTTTACCTTGAAATTCATTAATTGCCTGTAAACAAAAGTCATCTTAGAATCAGTGGCAACTGTATTAAGTCTCCATTATCACTCCATCTGGCAATGTTATACCTGACATCTATCTAGTGTATTATTCTGAGTTTGTATTATGCTCAGTAAGACAAGTCTTTCAGAAACTCAAGACAGAAGTGAGAATTAAATTGGTCTCATAGTGCAAGGGACAATACATTAGCCGTCACCTTTTCCTAGGTACATGGAAAGGGCTAACATCACGGCACTCAAAAACTAAGGCAGGAGGAAGATCAGGGTACCTGTGTGTGGAAGCAAGACCTCTCAGAGCTCCTGCAGATCTCCTGGGAAGGTATTACTCAAAACATTCTTCACTTAATACTATTGACAAATAATTTCCTCAATTCGAATGAGGCAAATTGGAATTCAGTAATATCCAACAGCCACCCTAAGACTCACCATTTCCAGATCTCCATCAGCAACTGCTCTTAGGAGTTTTTGCACCTATGTATTAAGAAAACAATTAATTTGCTTTGTTAGTATTAATATTAAGCTGTACACAGGAAACTTTGTGTCCTTTATTAACCTCCTAAGCTCATGTGGTAGCATTACTGCTTGCTCATTTCATATTTACTGGTAAAGTTTTAAAGGAAAAACCTTCATCCTTTATGAAGTACAAAAGCTGTGCAAGGCCTGCGGCCATCTAATGGTCTGATTCACTTAGTTAAAGATAAACAGTACTCACCTAAATAAAGGACATGTAGTCCACCCATAAACAAAGCCATGTAAGCCGATAATTGTTATTACACCACTGCAGCAGCAGCTGACCATGCATTTCTGTTGTGAAGCTAACATTAAAAATTCCTAGTCAAGACAAATTTCTACTCTGATAAATGCTAGTACTCTTTGGACTCTTCCTGAGCTACTATATGCTACCAGAAGCACAAAAGATGCAGATTTTATTTTGCTGTTTGAGAAACAACAGTTTAAGATGAAAAAGATGCTTTCCGATTGTTTCCAGTCTGCAGATTACTGGTTTATTCCTATGTTAAAAAACCAAACATTTACAAATGTAACTTGACTGTAAGTATGAAATCTGTTTTCTTACTTAAAATCTGAAAAGATATAAATATCACAGGGTATGTATTAGCACAAACCAGGTGCTTCAACTCAGAGAGTTAATCCAGTGGACCAGCACTAGACCAAATAAGTATGTGTATGCTCAGGCCACCTAATGCCTGAACATGACTACTGGGTGTAGATATTCTCCTATTTATGAGCTCTGCAGCGGGGAACGAGGCAAGTGGGGGGAAGAAGAGATGAAAGGTGCTGTGTAGTGCACAAATGCCATTCTCCCGATCCCTCTGACTGCTTGTGAAAGCAGGAGAATGAGACGTACTTGTCTCTCTGCTGCTTCTCTGATTCTCTACTCTCACATGAAGGAGCTGAGGTCTAACCTGATACAAATGGGACAGGTGTCAGCAAAAGGGCAGGGAGACTTCTCTGGCCTCTGCAGATTGTTGAAGAAGCAGCTAATAAGCTTCGTGAAAGTCTGATTCAGCATTATAGCAAATGATTCTAGCACTGTGCTACAATCACCAAAGGTGCTGCTGTGTAAACAAAGTTGTTTCAATGTTAAGAAACATTTTCAAGTCGAAGATGTCATGGAGCAACAGCTACAGTCACATTTCAATCTTTATCTAGAAATTACTACCTTGCTGTGACAGCACTGTGTGGCAAAGCAAACAATGAAGAATGAAACTGAAAGGAAGTTGTGTTTTACTGGCCTGATCTGTTTGTTCAGGGTTTTAGCAGAAAGACAGAGCATCTACAGATGAGAAGCTAGATTAAAACCCTCCATCCATTTGGTTTTTTCTCTTTTCAGGAAAGCTGCTAAGTTTTATTTTATTATTACTTTCCAATACAAGGTGAAGCTCCTTGAAGTGATGCACTAGGCACTCAAGGCAGAATTCCTCTTTCCTAACTTTGGATGCCTAGAAGTTATCCCTCTCACCTAGGTCAGTCTTTTAAGCTTCCTCTCTGGTAACTACAGAACAAAATGCAGCCACCAAATGACACTCAAGTGCAACTCAGGTCAAACTAAGCATGTTTGAGATTAATTCCTCTCTGGAGGCACTGATTTCTCTTCACTAAGGAGGGAAAGTAGATGTCTGAAGTTAGGACAATTGTCTTTCAGACATATGAAGTTAGGTGGGCTGAATCCTAATCTCATTACATCTAAATCTAAAATGGACTACATATACTAGCAAGATCTGTGCTCCCCCTATGTCTCTCCGTATAATATAGGATAATGTCAATGGAGAACGTAAAGGTCTTGATGATTTTCAGGAGCCAGACTTATCACACACAAGATGCTGAACAGTAACAGCAAGCGACTCACAAGCTCTGATAACTTCTTTCCAAAAATAGCAACTTCCTTACAGCTCTAAAAACTGCCTCAGGCCCTAGCAGTGGAGAAGCATACAACATCTGTTATGCAGCTTATAGATAATTTATTAAGAGCACTTAGATCAAAATGTCTGCTACATGCATTTCCCCATCTTTTCAGTTTGCTTTCTCACTCCTCCATGGAATATAAGTACCTTCCTTTAAATGTAAAAATAGATCAAGTGAAACTACTGCAGTTCACTTGCCTGCTCAGTTTGCCTGTTTTTGAAATCGTGCAAGAAGTTTAATTCTAACAGAGGAAGTTCCAAATTTACATGCCTGGCTCCTTTACTCTCTCTTTTCTAAGTTGCAAACAAGCCACATACAAGACATATACCACGACAGAAATGAACTAAAGCTGGATTATAGGAGAAGGTCATTAACCCCAAGAATCTAAGGTGTAAGCTGCTTGTAATCTTTTCCCTGGTTTGAACTATAGTCTTAGCTCTTAGGTGTGACAAATTTGTTCCTTTAAGGAAAAATAAACCCTCAAGTGAAAATAAATATATCTAAGAATTTATGAAACTAAATCTGTAAGGTGAACTTTAGACCTTATTTAGAGTACTTGACTTTGCACAAGCAGGGAGTAACAGTTCTACATTGACGCTCTCATAGAGTAACTGATATATCTTGAGCTTCTTGAACATTTTTAGAAAGCAGAAATTTTTGGCAAAAGAAAAACTTTTTACTAGCAGGAAAAGGAAAAATTTTAATGCAGAGGTGATATAGAGAGAAACAAAAATACTAAGGAGGTCAATTTTGAAAAAAATGGAACAGGAGGACTAGAACAAAAATAAAGAGAGAAGCATCAGAAGGAGTGGTGATACAACAGGCTTAGGAGAGGATAAAAGGAAAGTAGGGATCTGAGGTCCTACATGAAAAAATTGAGAGGATGACATCTTAGTTGGTGTGTGTAAAGCAAAATCAGGAAAAACATATATGCGCAAGACACTTAATACATCGTGTGTACTACTTCACATGTTACAAAATTGATTTCCTATGCCTATTTTGAAAGATTGTCTTAACATTCTAGTTTGTTAAGTTGTTTGCCAGTATGCCTGTACTAGTTTCTTTCCCTGACAGATTTTTAAGTTAACAAATGCATTTAATTTCTGGACAGGACAGCAAGGTCCTTGGGGTACTGACTGCCATTATAATTTTACAGACTTCAGCAAATTCAGTTATGTATGCAGTTATGTAGTCAACTGCAGTAAATCTGAACAAGTACTCCAAATATGCTGTTTTCCCCAGAAATAACCAGCAGAGTAGCTGATACCATACAAATGCTTAGATACTGAGATGACAAGCACCTGAGGATAGCAGCATATAATTTTCCAAAACAGACAGAAAGCTATCCCTGAAGAAGCAGCTTAAAAGAGTGTTGCAAAATATCACTCTTCCAGCTTCCTTCTCTTTGCTTATTGTCAGAACATACACCTTAGTCTTACCTCTTTATAACTGTTTTTTACTTCTTCTTGTCTTATATCAGTTGATGCTGATGACAGGCTTGAGACAGATGATCCTCTGCTGAAAGTTTCTGTTGACTGCTGAGGAGACCTAAGTGGTGACTTAAAGTTGGAACAAAACCCCAAACAAAAACAAACGAAGAAACAAAACCCCCCACAAAACAAAGAAGTTATTTATCAAATTAAGCAGGTTAAACAATGGCAAAAAAAAGTTTAGCAACTTGCATTCATTTTTACCTCAGAAGCACTTTGTCCTCTTTCAAATGTTAGAGAGTTTAATTCCATCAATTGCAAAATCTGTATCAAAATATTAACAAACAGAACCAATATAACTCCACTTAAAGAGGAATCTTCTGACCGAAACACATATTAGCCAACAACCTAATATTAGTAACAGATTATGACTGAGCAGATTAAAAGTGCCCATTTACAAGTTTATGTTCCACACCACAGGCTGTATTCCTGCTATTAGATTTAAAATGTGACCTGTCTTCCTTAAAGTGAAACATACATTTTCACTTTAATAACACCAGACCACAAAATCCTATTAGCAGGTAAGTGTCTAAACCTCCATGGAATTGCATCAGAAAGAAATTGGGCTAGAAGATAAAGAGCAATACCTTGGAATTTAATGCACACTGTAGGGAAGTCTCTTTCATCCGGTTTTGAATTTCTGGATTTGCCCCATTTTGCAAAAGCACTTCTATGATCCCCTGATAGCCCCAGCGAGCAGCTATATGAAGAGGAGTATCTCCCTTTTCGTTACCAATATCTAGTCTACAGGACTGCACATCATAGTAGACTAAAGCTTTGACGCACTGGAAAGAGAAGGAGAACTATCAATATATTGTCTCTCAAGTCACATAACGTGCAATCCTAAAAAGGCTTTTTTCACTGCTGTCCATATAAGCCATTGGCTGAAGTGCAGGCTTTTACAGTTCAGTGTCATTAAAGAGATAAATACATAGCTAAATTTGCACACTATCTTCAATGGGAATGCATAATAAAAAATGCTATGAACTACTGAATAATGTCCTAATTTACAGCGTTAAACAGTTAGCCTCCAAATAGTTTTTATTTACTTTTTTTAATATGTAAGTTTAGTGCAAATTTGCATCACAGTTTAGTTCTGTTCCATCAGAATGTTCATTTAGTTTGCTATAAAACAATTACTTACATCCTCATGACCATAAGTGCAGGCTAAATGAAGTGGAGTATTTCCATTATTGTCCTGAACATCAGTACTTGCCTTATAGTGCAATAAGAGAAGCTTTAAGGAAAAATAAAAGTAGACATTTAAGTAACTAAAATATTAATGGAAAACAACTGTTGGTCCGTAGCTTCCTTTAGGGTTCTAGCATGACAAAGCACTTCATGTAAACTAGCTATGTCCCTCCTGTTTCAGACACTACCCTCTCGGCGTTACAGTACTGGTTTTGCCCTACCCTAAGAACCAAATAAAACTGCTTCTTATATATTCAGAGTTGTCACCAAAACCAGGAATCACCAACTGCAGCAAACACTGCAATACATATACTACATGATAATTTATCCTATATTTTAAGAGCCTATGGAATTGATGACACAGCTTAATTTCAACAACGATAACTGAAGAATCTCACATATATAGGATTCAGGTACATAATATTTAATGTAGTTACACAGGCTATCAGAATGTGTATCCACAATGTAAAGTCATTTAACTTATTCTAATGACTGCAATGGTTCTTGTGTCTTAATCAAGAGCAGAGATGTTGATAGGCTCTCCATTTGAACTATGTATTAGATATTTGTGTCAGTAAAATGCATGAATTATCAGACATGCATAGCTGTCAATTGCTTGGTTATCACAACTGGCTGTAAACCTTGCAATATAGGAAAAAATAAAATATGCAAACTACAATGATAAAAGACCCTCAATTCTACAGCACGCGTGGTTCTGGTAAAAGTTTCCCAGAAGATCTAGATGACGGTAACAGTAGAAGAGCTTAGTAAGAGTTGTATATTTATTATTTAGGTTAAGCATTCTTCTTATTTCTAATTAAGCCTTGTGGTGCTTACTGTAACATTTTGATATCCCTTCTGACAGGCAAGGTGAAGCGGTGTTGAACCGTGGTAATCTGTAGCATTGACAATGGCTCCTTTGGCTACCAATAAATCCACTAATGATGTTTGCCCTTGAAAAATATGCAAACATTAAAACAGAAAAGTAAACAAGAACATTACTACTTTTCAAATTCAAATGTGAACTATAAACCAAGATATCTTGCATTTCTGCATAGTATGTTTCTACATACCATAAATTCACTTCCTGGTATTTGGGTATTATGTTGCAGATTACTCAAGGTCAAAGCTCTATAAAGAACCTCCAGCTAAAAACAAGCTATGCTTCTATCTTACCAGTTGGAAAAGAAGAGAAAATAAAGCTATATCACACAAAGCACTTGAATCTTGGGATTCAAGATAATAAGAAGAAAATCGTATTAAAAAAAAAAAAACACTACAAAAATAAATGTGTCTTCTAATAAATGTAAGATCAATGGCATAATGAACATTACAAGACAGGAAGCGGTACAGATCTACCATAGACAGCCAAGAGAAAAAAAGATCCATTCATCAATCTCCCAGTTCTTTGAAACAAATTTGGTTTCTGATGACACATTTTTTTCACAGCTGAATAAAGAGCAACTGTGGTAACTGCTAAGGCAAAAGTAAGCAGCCAGCAAACAAACAAACAGTAACTTAACCATAAGAAACTTAGTCTGAAAGAATATACAATAACTTCATTCTGTGCCAAGATACTAGTCTTGATAGCAAATAAGCAGAAAACAATTTAATGCAAATTCACTATTTAATGCAAAGTTAGAAAACATACTATCATAAAGATAAGGAACAATAAGGAGCAGAAAACACTAGTGTAGAAGACCAACAATACTCACCACAAACAGCAGCTATATGAAGTGGTGTATATCCCCGGTCATCTCGAGAAAATGGAGTGATAATGGAAGAATCATTCAGTTTCCTTTAAAACACAATGGTTTAAAAGCAGCTCAGTTACCTATGCAGCAATGGTAAAGAGGAGAGAGAAAAATTGCCAAAAAAACCTTGTTTCGGAAATTTTATCCTTATCCCTTTTATCCTTTGGAATTCGGAAATTTTATCCTTTTACCCCTTTCACACAGGCAAATTATTTTATAGAGTTTCACATTTTGTTATGAGATGTGGTTTTGTCCAAGATGTGTGAGTTAAGTTCAAGAGAAGAAACATTTCACACCACATTTACCAAAGGACATACAGCCTCCATCACAAAATTGATGGTTGCTAGCCATTCAGTATCCTCGTAATATTTCTTCTGCTTTTTCAAAGCACACAAACATACACCCTCTGCTCCACCCTGAAGTGCTACCAACTTCCTCTATAACCAAAACCAGCATCCTTTTTAAAGTAAATCTTAGATGAAGGCTTTTACGTAGCTTTTTGTGTATTTGTGAATATGAAAAGTGCTTACCCAGACACTAGCTTCTCACATTTGTCACAGTAACAGAGTGGATGACACATTTTCTGTACAGTGTCCTTATCACTGTCACCTTGACTTAGTAATCGCTCCACTTCCTCCTGATTACCTGAAGCAATATGCTGCAAAAAGCCAAAAGGAGAAACAGAATGAGGAACCAATACAAAAAAACTCATTTAAAGGAAAAATACACCCCCCTCCCAAAAAAAAAAAAAAAAAAAAAAACAACACACAGAAAAACCTGAGTAATTTACTGAAGCACAAAATGAAAGGAACTGATTATAAAAGACATGTATTCAAGCATTAGAAAGCACAAATGAACAATGTCACAGCACAAACCCCCCTAATGGGCATTCAGTATTAAAAAGAATCTGTTCTTGGCTTACTACACTTTCTATAAAAAATTAAAACAATTTCTATTGTTCTCTTCAGACTCAGTCACGAAATTGAGTTCCCTCTGTGCAAAACCATTTCTGTAAAATTACCAAGTCTCTAGACATAATCTGTGAACACATATAATTAGAAGCTCTGCTTTGTGTCCTTGTAGAGGCAAAATTCTTTCAGAATGATAATATGAGATTAACATATAATATGAAGTAGCTTCAAGTGACTACATTTAAATTATTTCAGAAAACTCTTAATTTCAAGTACTAAAAGCTGTGAGAGAGAACCTGATAGTAACATCACATCTGTGCATTAAATGGGCCAAACAATACCAACAGCAAGTAACATTCCATCCTCGTTTGCTTCCATATTTTGTGTAACATGCTGAAATCTGTAATATTAACTTGGTAACATTTTGGCACAGAAATGCACTAGATTCAAAACATGCTTTTAGCATCTACTAAAACGCACTTCACAGTACCAATGTAATTAATGCTGCATTGTATTTCAGAAAATCGCATAAAGGAAGGGATATAAATACATATATATTCTGCCATAAAAGTTATTAACCTTAAATAAGCAGTCTATTGGAGTAGCAGACATCTGGGACAACAAGTTCATCCTTTGTCTTAAAAGCAGCTTGTCACATAGTCTCTCAGATTCCTGAAAATAAAACATTCAGGCTGATTATCTATATACTCATTTACAGGCAAAAGTAGAGTATCCTAACAGTTGAATTAACTTCTAAAAATATTTAATGCTGTATTTACCACTTATGAATTATGAGATGCATGCCAAACCTAAATCAGTTTCACATTTAGGATTCTGAGACTTAAAAAACTGCACACCTGCTGTTCAAAGAAATAAGTAGATGTCCATCAGGATATTTCTTACTTGAGCATCAATAAAATTATGACTGCACCATCTAAGAAAGAACATGGTAAAACCAGGACAGACATAAAAAAGACAACAAGAACTAAAAGAGGTGCAATGCAGCTTTCTTGTAAGGAGAAATTAGGATTCTTAACTCTGGAAAAGATTCAGCTGTGCTACAGCAGTCTAGAAAAATCACAGAAGGTCCAAAGAAAACACGCAAAGAATGAATATCTGCTATTCCTCAAGAGATAAGAACTAGGGTGCCCACCAAAAGCATCACACTTTAGGTCTGGGGAGGGAGTAAGGAGAAGAGAAAAATATTCTCTTATTGTGGAACTCATGTCTACTGGATGCTGCAAAAATCGAAAGTATAAATGGACTCAAAAAGGCACTAGACAAATTCACGTAAGACACGTCTAGCACTGGCTATGAAAGAAGACAACCCAGATAAAACTGAGTCAAAGACACCACTGAACTCTATACCTGCTAGAAAATAGAAGACTGTACCAGGTAAAGCATTACTCTGTAGTGGACTCATTCACAGAGTGCTTCTCACTGGTCACTTCTTCACAATCAGAGATTGAACTAAGAAGACATGTAACTCAACTTTCACATCAGTACTTCCCACTTCCTAAGAAATCTGAAGATACCCTTCAGAAACCAAAGCATATAAACACTTTCAAAACCGGGTGAAAATTCTTAAGTATGAGTCAGACTTTGAAATAGCAACATTGATCTTCAGGTGAAGTAAAATAATAATCTAAAGAAAATACTTTTAAGAAACTAGACGGGAACACCTGCAGGTTGTTGATTCTGATCAAGCAGTCCTTATGGCTGGCAGTGAATATAGTTTCTATGGATGTTGGTTTTGGACAACTATCTCCCTAGAAATGGAAAGCATGCATCAAACTGAAGACCATGTGTAGATCCAGGCTATAACTTCTGCTGTACAGACCAGATGGAAATGAGTAAAAAAAGTCCAACTCTGCTCTAAATTTTAGTAAGTCAGCATGAAGCTTAAGAAACTAATGAACCGCAAATAAACGTGATCACTTGAACACCAAAAATAAAGAGTTGAGATTTTCTAGGAATTAGATCACTCCAAGCTTCAAAATCAACATAAATGCCTCTCATAAAGCTGACTGAAAACCCCTTCATCATGTAGAAAATGATGTCATTAAAAACATGTTTATGAAGTCTAGAGATAAAAGTTTGCATCGGTATACACTGGAGTCAGTTGTTTGTATTTAGATACCCAAAGATAACAATCTTTTCAAACCCAGGTACTTTAGCTAAAAACACCCAAGCATATCTTTTCAGAATTACAAGGCACATAACACTAGTCTCCTTGGATCAATTCTTCAGTGTGATCAGAAGTAACTTCTTTAAGAAATATCTAATCAGAAATGGTAACTAGAAAAAAAAAAATTAAAGCTTTACTGCTGATACAAGTTTCTGAAGTCTAATTAGAATTTCTCACATGAATGCTTACAGACAGCTTTATAGTTGCACTATGGAGAATCTAAGTAATCATTAGCAAGACCTACTGTAGCTTTTGTGCTGTTCTTCCCACTGTATCTTTCACAAGTGGAATAATTATTTCAGAGTCACTCAAGACAGCAATCCTTATGTAGAGATATTATCTATTCTAAAAATCAGAAAAAAAGAGGCCATCCCAGGTGAAACTCTGTATCTTTGAAATTAAATGAGAATGGCATAAGAATCAGGTATTGGTTGAAGCATTAAGCAAGTTTGGGCCTTCAACAATAAAACTTGCTTGAGCTACAGTTTCCAGAATTAAAAATTACCATGCTTTGAGTAGGACATTCAGGTATTTTAAATACATATTGTCTAGAAATGCAGATCCAAACATTAATGGTCTTTTTATCTGACACTACTCTCCATACTAGAGAAGTAAAATATTTATACCTATGAAAGTGTACCTGTATAATGGCCTGTCCGAGGTGACTTTCACAAACTACAACTGATGACTTGGAGAAATTATCTCCACACCCCTCCCAGGCAAACACTTTATTAGCCTCAGTTTGAGCTCAAGTCTTCCTTATCCAGCTTCTCCCAGCTTCCTAGTTCCTCCATACCAACTTCATTGCCACCTACAGCTCTTTCCATACAAGAGCCAAAATGCTACCTATTCCCTAGCAGCTAATATAGCTCCCTACTTTATACCTATCTTCAGCCTTCTGAACTAGAGAGTTTTACTGCACACTAGCTGTGCATAGCAACATAACTAAGGCCCAATACTTATTAACTGGAATTCTAATAAGGTTGACAACTCCCAGAAAATAAAAACTTTTCTGCTATCAGTTACCTGCTCCTCTCCTCCCCACAAACAAAGTATCTCCTCAAGACTTACATGACCTTGGGTGAAGGGAATTTGGCAGGCATCTCCTACATGCAATTTTCTTACTGACACGCGGGTGATAATATGCCCATTATCCCACATGGTACATTAGTTCCCTGCTGAGTTTTCTTTATGTATTTAGCTTCATTAGGGATTGGACAACAGCATTACTCAGCTGCCAGAAGCTCCATCTGAAGCCAGCTATAAAATTAAGTGTAGCCGCATGAGGGGCTGTAATGAAGCCCCAGGGAACAGCAATGTTCCTGCTCACTTAAATCCCACAACCATTTCCAGCACAATCTGGAAAAGGAAACCATGGGGCATCAACACAACAGCTCCTGCTGCTTTAAACAGGAAGTTGAGCTCCTCTACCAGAGAATAAAGGAAATATCACAACTGATAAGTTCATAAAAGGAGAACAACGCTATTGGAAGTTCCTATCATGCTCCTCCACCTTCTCAACACCCTTTTTCAATTCTGTCAAGGGGCTATTTCTTCCTCTTTATTGTATGCCACCTTCTCATCCCTTACCCTACACTTGAGAAGAGGGTCGTCTAGCTCTTTCCTTTTCAGCTGTGCTAATGGGCAGGGGGGTCACCCAATTCCTTGTCTTCAAGGCTCTGCTGTTTTCTACCTCATGCCAGGGTGCTGCCTCGAAGTCATGCTGACTCTTAAGAATGGTAGTGTAGAAGTAAGGAGCTCCTGTTGCATGCTCACTGTACATACATTGAAGTGAGGAAGTCAGAAGCTAGCACTCTAGGTCTGGAGCCGATCCAGCTGATATGTATGACACTGCCTTCATCTAGACTTCTGAAATACGTAGTTCATCAGTATCTTAATTAAAGTAGCACTTGTTATAATCACTTGAGGGCAATCCTAGTATAAAACACTTATCCTTAGCTATATAAGGAGAGATAGGACCATGCATTTATAGAAGGCAGTCTTTATTCCAGAAACTTAAGAGCAATATATTCCTTTTTCAACTTTCTGGCATTGTTGAAGCCAGTTCTACTTTGGTTTCAGTTCTCCATCCAGACCACCAGCATTGCTATTTGTATTGATTGTTCATGACAGCCATGAGATTGCAGGAAGCAAAATTGACTGGCAGGTTTGTTTTTTTTAAGCTGACATTTATTAATTTTAAAATATCATTCAATACAGCATTACAGACATGATATACAACAGTCTCTTTACACAGAAGTGCCTTTTTTTTTTTTTAAATGTACAAAACCCCATGCATGACAGGTTCATGGAAAGAGCCCAGGAAAGAACAAACCCCAGAATTAAGAAAGGCGAAGTGCTTTACCAAGCTACTTTAAGTGCTGCTTCTTTTAAAATTGTGCCCCAGGCTGTCCCATTCCAAGCCCTGCATACTGAGCCACTATTCTGGCCCCTACAATTAGATTCCAGTGCTCTGCAGTTGGGCAGACTGAGACACATCAAATTCATTCTGGTTCCAAGTTCACTCCTTTTGATTTCCACATCAGATCAGGAAAACCTAATTTTGCAGCAGTTGAAAGTTTTACAGGAGATGTAAGACTGATTCCTTTAATAAGCTACAAAGTTCTTAAATCACAGAAGTTTCTAAAGTCCTATGAATATCATCCTTGATTGGCCTGCAGGGATTTGACCTGATTGACAGAAGGTCTAGTTGCCCAGTAGGAAATAACTCATGCATCCACAAACTCCATGCTCCTGCTTGGTTAGAGATCCCAAGAGCCATATTTGACCTACAAACACCACCTTATGGTCCCGCACTCCCATCAAATTATCAACTTAGTGCAACATAGTAAGTGTGCTGCAAACACATTGAGATTTTAGAGAAGGAAGATTTACTGAGTAATTCTAAATTACACTGCAATCTCCATTCTGCTAGCATAGCTATGCTTTTCAAAATTATTAAAGAAAAATCTGTTTAAGCTATGTCTGGTCTCAAGTATTCCATTGCTTTTACGCATGATAGAGTAAAAAAGTGAGATAATACGCTTACTAAAAACTCAGTTGTTGAAAATAGCACTGTCATTTTTCCTCTAATCATGTGAAGAGGCAGACAACATTTAAGTACTTCCTCAAGGAGTATACCATGAATAATAATTATTGCTACAGGATTAGGACTTCACTGTAATCATTTAGATCATTTTAGTGTTTGCTTCAGGTACAGTCACCTCAACTTAGTTCCTCAATCACAAAAAAGGAACTCATGTCAGCTGTTTGTACCCCCTGACTGGATTTATGCCTACAAGCTTATCAAATACACATTTGACAGACTTTAAGAGTAGCTTACTGTTGATCTGTCAGAGAGGTTGCCTTGTCGTATGTATTCTATTGCAGCCTCAATTGAGGTTAGACAGTATCCCAATTCATCCTTCACTGAACTGCAAAGCCTGAAGTTCTTTATGTAACTCAAGTTGGCCATCCTGAAATAAAAGTTAAAGCCATGAACCACTGAAAATAAGATACTAGCATGACATACTGCAACCCATCTTCAGCAATGCAGACAGACAATAGGTGTGGGTTAAGAAAAAGCTTCTAGAAAGATTGTTAGGCTAGCAATACAATGGCTGTTCCGAGCCTTGTAGATGGATCAGAACGCTACTCATCTTGTAACTTTTCATTGAATAGTTATTAATTAGATATAAGGAATATGAAGGACAGCATAAGAACAGTAGTGGGAGATTATTTCACACATTTCAAACACGTGCATATTTCAAGTACTATAAGTCCCAGTGTAAAGTGATAGCTAAAAATTAACGGAAAATGCTTATTTGAGATACGGGAGATACCAACATTAAATTCAATTCAGGTACAGGTGAAATGTATAGATATACTTTTATGGATAGCAAGGATACATAATGGCACAGGCTAGCAGAAGCCATTAAGCATTCAATTCAAGTTTCTCTATATGAAATGTATTGAACACCTAGAAGCTTCATAAAAGGTTTCACAGTTCCAAATATAGATAAGGAAGGACCAGTCTATAGAGGAAGTCTATATTCACATGCAGATCTTTTAAAGATGGCCTTCCTTTACAGTATTTTTTTAGGCGGCAATCAAAACAGCAAGACGCAGCACATTAATTCCTGGTAGGTCCTTAATTTGGTCACACCTGTAATAGATCCTCACTGTTTGTCCTACTAAAAATACAGTTTTCTGCATTACATCAGCCCCTCTTATGCTTCCAGTAAGTTACATCACTACATGTTCAGTAACATTTGCCCTTCCTGCAGCATTACACATAAAATGACACGATCAAGTTCTGTATAGCCAGAATAGTTACATACCAGTTTGGGATTTCTGTTTTTACAAGCAAATATAGCAAAACAGAGAGTAGATCATCTGCACACATGGTTTCCACATTAACTAAAAAAAAAAAAAAAAAAAAAAAAAAATTCATATCTGATGTTAGTCATGTCATAGTTCAAATCAAAAGCAATACCTACAAATGGAGTTCTGCCTCCTAAGAATAAGGGCCAGCTCTATTAGTAGAATGCATTGAGTAACCAAGGCATACCTTCAAATGTTCTCCATCTCCCTCTAAAATAGGCTGCCAGAAGCCAAAAAATAAATGTAGTATGTACTGTACAAACTGTAATATTTGACTAGCATCCCTCCTTCCTATACAGGAACAGCCAGATCACTAGTTCAAGATTTCTGAAATTCTTGGGGGGTGGGGGAGAAGTGTGTGTGTGGAAAAAACCAAAACAAACCTACCCTCAAAGTTTATAGACTTCTCTAGGAAGACTCCTGGATTATGGAAAAATGAAAAGATGATGTAGGGAAAGCATAAGTTTGTTGTACTACTCCATTTGCTTAATGGAAGTATCTTCTCTCTCCAGACTAGGTAAAATACCAGATTAAGAGGTCCATGCTTTCCTGTCACAGAATAATTTCTGTAATCTACAGTAGCACTCTGAATGTAGCATATAGTTGTCCCTCACCAGCACTACACTTTGCAATGGATGCATTCCAAGAGCATCAGTTTCAAGATCACTGAGGAACACGGACAAATAGGCAAGAACGATGCAGCAGCAATCCTCACTGTTTAAAATAGATCACTCTCAATTCTTATGCATGATAAAACATCCTAGCACATGCAAAAAGCTTGCATGTCCTAGCTAAGAAAAAACAAAACAAAAAAACAAAAACAACCCCATGTATAAGCTAACCAAGTACCTCATCTCACCCCACCCCATGAGGAACAACACAGAAGTATTTATTTTGTCTCCATTTTGCTTTGTTTAGAGACCTGCAAGGCACACCCCAGCCTAATTGTGTTTAGTCCACAAGTGCTATTCAAACAGCTGCTTATATATCGAAGTGCTTTATGTGTACTGGTTAAGAAAAAAGTTTTAATTTAAATTACTAATTCAACAATTACTAACCTCTTTGGCTAGAAGACTGCATAATAATTTGTACCACCTTTTGTAGACAAAGTAGTTTCTGCTGAGGGGAAGTACATTTGTTCAATTGACTCAGTTCTCGCTTTGCACGTGGTATATTAAAGCTATGAAATAATTTTAAATAAATGGTTAGCATACAGAGCTCATGTGCAGGGTTTCCAAAACCCAAGTTTTAACTTATTCAGAGCTGAAATAAAGAACTGTATTATATTTCCACCTACACTCGAAGTACACTTGCACTTCTAGACCCTGCAGATGCAGAGGGAAGCAGAAGAATATAAAAGCAAAGGAAATAACCATGAATACAAGGACTGCCCTAAAATGACACTTTTTTTACTTTTCCATCTGAAATGAAGTGTAAGTAAAACTTGCTATTGTCTGAAGGAGGATGCTTTCTGGCTGGCCTGACAGAATCCCAGTGACTCCTCAAGGAGTCCACAATCGTCTCTCTCACCTGAACTCAGGCTTCACTCCAATGTCTTTTTGCTGCAGGTCTTGAAGGCTCCTTGTGATTTTGTTAAACGCAGCATCCTAAGCAATAGAAAGGCAACAGTTTTATAAATGCACTAGATTAGTTACATTAATCTTCAGCAATCAAGCAAACTTACCTCACTTGCCTCTATAGTCCCCACATATTTAAAGACTAGATCATAAATTGCATGGTGGATATACATCTGTAGAAAAAACAGTACTTTAGGCATGAAAGGGAGAGTTAAAAATAGCTTCCTAATTGTTTTCTTTCATTTCAGATGCTTACTTCAACAGCTTGTTTAATCAGATTCATCTGCTCTTCTTGCTTTGCAAGCATCTTCTAGAAAAAGAAAGCCATACAAACACAAAGTTAGATAATTTATTGCTTAACTAAGACTACGTACTATGTATTTAGTGAAGTATGTGTTTACCAAGTGCGAATCTCTCAAAAGATGCTGGAGACATTTGGTATAAAGTGCATTGACAGAATCCTGGGGAGAGAGGAAAAAAGAAAGCAGCCAGATTCAGGTTAATCTGACTTGAAGCAACAAAGCAGATAAATAAGCAAAAGCAGCAGTCTTTCCCCACCTTAGAATTGTGCACTATAGTAAGATTTTTAGCTAAAAAAATTGCCTTTACCTAGTAGTTAAGATGTGGCAATTCACAAGAAATTGTGAATATCTCCCTTCCCACCTTCCTCAACTCTAGCCCGCTCTGACACAGGTAAGGCGACAAAGACACCCAAAGCAGTGACTTATGTTTAGCAAATTAAACATCAAGAAGCAAGATACTGACTATGTAGTGGCGGAGGCTTTTCCTTTCATGTTCTTTAAACGTTCTATAGAAAGATCCTATGTATTTATCAAATCTCTCACAGTGCCTTCCCAAGAATTCTCTAACATCTTCAATATTTTTAAGAGAAGAGGAGTTTGACAAAGCTGTAGATTCACCTAGAATGAAAGTCAAGAATTAACACATAGGCTTAATATAAATGAATGGTAAAGTACTTTCTGTCCTAACATACACAGCCAACTTGTGCACAATGAAACATTCATTCACCTTACTCCATCTTTAACTGAATGCATTGCTTTAATTAAAAGAATTTAATGCATCACATTTAGAGTAGACTCTCTTGCCTTTTATGTCAAGTATTTATTCGGAACACCTAAAACTGATTCCACATGCTTTTTTATCATGGGGTTACTTATTGCCACATACACAACTCAATCCGAGTGTGAGTCAAGCCTAAACACAAAAGAAAAACACATTATGGAATTGACTGAATGCCCATGTAGGAAGTTAGTCTGCTCTAAGTGAGCTGTAAAAAAAAAAAATCCTATCTTCAGTTTTCACATAACATATTCTTTACTTAGAAATGCTTTCTCTGAATGGGAAAGCAGAGTTGCTTCATGTAAACATTAAAACCAAGTCCGTTTTCCTTCTAAATAAGACAATTGGATCCCTCACTTAAAATTCATACTGCTTTTCCAAAATCATTTTTCTAGGCAAGTCTTTCATTTGCAATCAAAGGCAGGCAAAAAATAACAGGTTTAGATCTCATTCATTTCAAATTACTTCTGGAATTACAAATTATGTCACTTCTGAAGGACTGCTAGACAACTACATTAAGTTATGGCCAAAAATGGAATGCTAGAAGAATATTTCTTTAGATGTAGATTAATATTTGTAGAATTTAAGCCTATATGTATGCAGACCAGCACCTCTAACCACTGATGAAGCAATCATGAAAGAATTTACCTCTCCAGTTTTTTGTGCACTCACCTTGCATTTCAAGATGCAGCATCTCAAGACACATGTCACACTGAAGACTAAAGCCCATTAAGCAATCAAAACTAAACAGAGCATTGCTAAGAAATTACTGGATCACATATTCCACAGATAATGTTTAGTGCTGAGACTAGGGCATAAATCCTACAGAATTAAGTTTGCCTGGCAGCAACGTAGTATTTCTCTCCAGAAAGCTAATAAATGCCAACGGCTTTCAACCAAGCCAAAGTTTTTCAGAATGAAGGAAATTAAGTGTATCAAACATACTAATTTGTTCACTGTGCAAACAAGACCACTAAGTTAACATTTCAGTACATACTTGAACTTTCTGTTTTTTCCAATGGATGAGCTATGCACAATATACTAAAGCTTTCTTCTTTTTCATTGTAAAATGTTTCCTCGAAAAGAACAGGTACTGAGAGAGTGTAACTAAAACCAGTTCCTAAAATGATGAGGTTTCCTTGTATGACGATCTCCTGAAACAAAACAGAAACCAGATCCAAGCATAAAATTCCACCAGAAGAAAGTTATCATTTGGCTTCTGCATTGCAGCTACATTTTGGGGGGGTGTGTGGGGGTGTGTGTGTGTGTGGAAGCATAATGAAAAAGAGAATCTTGCAAGTCAAGAAAGCACCAGATGCAAGAGATCTCATATTCTCATGCTATGCAGACACTGAAACAAAGATTCCTCCGGTCTACAACGGCTAAACCTTACTCATATCTACTTTCTTCATAAGTCTGCTACTAGAGGAGGAGGTTTCAGAGTTTGCAGATTTTTAGAGCACCTTTAGTAGAAGGGAAGGGAACTTGAAAAACAACTTAGAATTGGGGCCTAAGTCCAGCTTCAGAAAAATATCACCCACCTTGTCTACATCTCTCAAGCTCAGCTTTAACTTCTCAAGCAACTCTAGTAAGGACACCTGCAGCAGGAAGATCTAGATAGCCTGCAAATGGGTGCAAGATCTCAGACTGCACTGAAAAAAGTGATCCCATGCAGTGCTACCATTGGTTATCATGGCTTGCTGCTACATTAGTCTCTGCTAATTGAACTGAATACATCAGACCTCAGACACAACTCAATACCATCATTGTTTTGTCTTAAACCTTGGTGAACTTTCATCTGCAAACAATTGGCAGGCTATTTACCTGAAAGCTAGAGACAGTGATACTAAGTGATAAAGTGATTTAAGTGATAAAGGCCCTTGTGCCACACAACTGAATTCCTAATGGCCACAGAACACAAATTGACAAACTTGAATAGTAAGCAGAAACAAGAGGCAGTGTTAACATTTGAACAGACAGCTATTCTTGTGTACATGCCAAAATACGGCTTTTGCTAAAAAAAGCCTGAGAACTTAGGCTTAAGACAGGCAACATGCTGCTTTCACCAGCTAGTTCTAACTCTTAGCTACCTCTGCTCACACTATCAGTCATCAGCTGCAGTGAATCATTTATTTGAGTGTCCCCAGGCTACACTCAGACATCAAAACAGAAATACCTTTCCATTTAAGGTTTGAAAACGTCCTTGTAATGGCTTCAGAACATAAGATTCAAACTGGCAGGTGGAGAGACTGCTGCTTGAAAGGCTTCAAAAAAAACCCAAAAAAAAAAAAAAAAAAAAAAAAAAAAAAAAGAAAGAAAGAAAGGAAAATTTTAGATCATGCTTTACAAAGAAATACCACATATCACCAGCTAAACACCAACAGCTTTTGCCTTTTGGAGGCAAGCAATTCAATCTGGCCTATAAACATTTACTAGTAAAAGTATAGCAAATAAAAGCACTTCTGTTTAAGTAATAAAAAGAAAAGGTCATTGATAGAACACAGTCTGGTGATTAATCTATAAATTTCATTTAGTTACGTATCTGAAAAAGGATGACAGATGTAACTGAACCAAGCAATAGTAAGAGAAGATGAAATCTTAAGTCACAGCACCAGTCACCTGGATGACTTAAAATAAGGTAGTTAAAGTGAAGTATACTTTCAAGCTAAAATGAAAATCCATCATAATGAAGGGAAAAAAAAAAAAAATAACGTAAGAAGCATCTTGGCTTTATTGCACATCAACAGATTGGCAGTTTGAGAAAAATTCTTAATCAGAAAGCAACACATTATGACTACACAAACACTGTACAAATGATGAAGAGAAATACATTTCATTGTCAAGAAAGAAGCACGAATCAAGTAGTTCTTTCAGTACTCAGCAGCTTTCAGAAATGGTGTTAGAACACAGACAGAATTGGTCAACAGACTGTAGCATTTCATCTGATCACATCACCATGTTAAGTAATATACAAGTGAAAGAACCCCATGTAATTTAAGGCTTAATTTTATAATCAGGTTACAATGACCTCCAAGTTAAATGGAGTCTCCAAAAGCTTAATTCTGGATGAAGACTAATTGCAGAGTACCCGGATTAGAAGTCGTAAGGTCAGAGTTTTTATTCCAGGTCAGTTTAATGGCTTTATTTTGCTATGTAAAACGCTGTCAGAAATGAGTGATTGCCTGTCCACCAGGCATTTCAAAAGGTCAATCCTATTTTAAGTTACAAATGAAAGATATGTAACTTTAGTTCACAGCAAAGAAAATAAGCTTTCTGTAGTTCAGAAACAACACCAACTTTGACCTTTTATTACCATACAATATATCAAGACATCTGCATTAGTAAATAACAAGCAACTTAAAAGTTGCTTTACCTCACTTTGAAGTTTTTTAGGCTTTCACTGATCTTTACATGTGTCAGAGCAGGCATATGATTTAAATTCATATGGCTGCTATTTAATATCAGCTTTTAAATCTACTGATTTATACTTACAATACCATGAAATTCTGCAACTTTGCTGCATAGATCAGGACGTTGCTTCTGAATGGCCAAATAAAATGGATTTTTCAAGATATCTTCATCATACATTGCCATATGTACTTCAGCTATCCCAAGGAGATTCTCTAAAATACACGTGGAGAATGGTTAGTGTGTCATACATGGTACCTGTTAAAACATGGTATTTGGGAATACCTAGAGGGCAGTTTGATTTCCCTTGTTTAAAAGGAAAAAGCAGTTTCAGGTCTCGAGCAAGCAGCCAATGGCATGCTTAACTAACAAGACACTTAATTCAGAAGTTACTCAGAAAGATTATTTTCCGTGAATATGCATTTCCAATTACATAGTTACCCTTGTAATACCTTCCAATTGTTGGAGTCTAACAATGCATGATATGGTTGCACTAAACTTGACAGGAGAAGTTAAGATTACATTACTCCCACTTTGACAGAGAAGCTAACTTGCACTGTCAAATCTAAAACAAGCCAAGAGACATAAAGTAACAGCTTCTTGACAGCAGATTCTACTGCATCACAGGATATGGATGCTTTTGTAGTACATTCATGTGAGTCTTAAGACTCACCTGTATAAGGATTATTGACTTACATACCTCAGTGAGACACCCAGACAGTGTAACTGGAACCCTTGTGTAAGGCAATCCTCAACTTTCCAGGGAAAGTTATAGGAAAGACATACACCAAGAAGACATAAATATCCATGTTATAATTAAAAAGTCACTGTGAAATGCATCATTTGTGGTCATTTCAGCTTGCATGGAAAAATTTTTGAATGATCAGAGATAGGGCTGATGCAAAACATTTAGCAAAACATTGGGCAAAGAAGTAACTGGAAACAGACAAGCCAACCTGTTCCAATGCCTGTAGGCATTGGAAAAGCTATCACCAGGTATGCCACAGAGAAAAGATGATCTCTAGACCCTCGACTGCTTGCTTCCTCAGCTCTAATCCTAGACACAAGGGCAGGAAAAACCCTAATAGGTACCTTCTGGAATAATTTTAGAATTATTTTGTTCAGAATAATTGAGGTTAACAGGCTTACAAGTGCTTAATTAACTCATCTGTTCCGTGTCTTTCCCCCTCATCCAGCTTCCCTTAGGAATCAATGAGTTGCACGACTTTTCTCATGCAATTTTAGCTGGCGAAGCTAAAATTGCATCCTAGGAAAGCGTGAGAACAGCAGCAGAACTTTGAGCAAGCCATCCTTACACAATCAGTACCCTCTTGTTTTCTTAAATGCAGAATTATACCTAGCACATTATTCACTCAGTGCAAGCTTCTCGCACTTGGTCTGTAGCACTTTAGTATCTTACTACATAATGTACTGGCACTGAAAATACTTTTCTCTGTATATCATGGAAGAGACATGAAACTACTGTATGGCAGTTTAAGAGTGGAAAAACGTACACTCAACTCCCACGGATTTTCAGATAGCATCTGGGTTTCAGCTATACTGTAACTGATCTACAGTCTGTTAACTGAGCTACAGTCTGGTCCCTCCTTATAATTAGGCACAAGGAGAACTCTAAGGGAGCTAAACACAAAATGATCAGTTAAAGCTGCAAGCACTTTCCATTATAAAGTGGTCACTAGTTACAACTTGGGCAACCTTACCCTGAGCCACTCAAGTTTGGCAGAGGCAGATAACTGCCTCAGGCAGAGTACTCCTCTCAAATTCCAGATAAAATGGCTCATCTACTTACAAAGTTGGTTTTGGCTGTGAACTGACAGAGGGGAGATTTAGATATTAGGAAGCAGTTCTCCCCTGTGAGGGTGCTGAGGCGCTGGCCCTGGGTGCCCAGAGAAGCTGTGGCTGCCCCATCCCTGGCAGTGTTCAAGGCCAGGTTGGACACAGGGGCTTGAAGCAACCTGCTCTAGTGGAAGGTGCCCCTGCCCATGGCAGGGGGTTGGAACTTGGATGAGCTTTAGGGTCCCTTCCAACCCAAACCATTCTGTGACTTTATGATCTATCTTACTACAGTGCCTGAGTGGACAGGACGATCACCAATAATTCTGCAGCTTTAAGCATTTCCTGGCAAGCAGCTGCAAACCAAGTTCAAGCTGTGGGCTTCCTCAGCCTGTGGAGGGGGATAGGAGAAAAGGCAACACAAGCCCAGTGGCGTGTCTGCTGCAAAAAGAGGTATTTCAGTTATTCCTAGAACATCAGGGCTAAGACAGACCTTAGCAAACATGACTAGTTAGCTATAAAAAAAAAAAAAAAAAAAAAAAAAAAAAAAAAA